ACGGGCCTCCTTCAGACTGACACACACAGATCATCACACTTTATTCACCACAGTAACAACACAAAACGGGCCTCCTTCAGACTGACACACACAGATCATCACACTTTATTCACCACAGTAACAACACAAAACGGGCCTCCTTCAGACTGACACACACAGATCATCACACTTTATTCACCACAGTAACGACACAGAACGGGCCTCCTTCAGACTGACACACACAGATCATCGCACTTTATTCACCACAGTAACAACACAGAACGGGCCTCCTTCAGACTGACACACACAGATCATCACACTTTATTCACCACAGTAACGACAAATGAACGTTAATTATTTTACCAAACTGTGACAGGCTGAGCTCAAAGCTCCAACCATCAGGTTGGAGGTCAGAGAACTACTAACTACACTGAGCCGGGTGGTGCTTCCATGAAGGAACCCCACTCTGACTGTTGGACCTCAGCTTCAGGAGGAGCAGTGTGGCTTCAACCTGGTCCTGGTCCTGGTCCTGGTTCTGGAACAGTGGACCAGAGCTTCACTCTATAGAGGGACTTTCCAGTCTACTTGTGTTTAGTGGATCTGGAGAAGGTTTATGAACGTGTCCCCTGAGGCATTCTGTGGGGGTGCTGTGGGACTATGTGGGGCTGGGGTATCTGGTCCCAGTAGAACCAGAGCAGGAGCTGGGTTCACATTAATGGTACAGAGGTGAGCTTGTTCTCTGTGCAGGTTGGACTCCACCTGGGCTGTCCCTAGTCTCTGATCCTGTTTGTGGTCCTCATGGACAGGATCTGAAGGTTCCATTGTGGAGAGGAGGGGGTCTGGTTAGGGAACCTGAGGACTCAGGTTCTAGTCTGGATCAGAGTGAACATTTCAAATGTTTAAACTGAGAAATGAAATGTTTACAGATCTGTTAACTTTGAGTTTAAAGTTCCAGACGTTCCTCTGTGAAACATCTCCTCTTCTTCTGACATCAGTCTGTAGACCTCCAGGACCTGACAGAAGCCCAGGTCTGGAGGTTTTGGAGGGACAGGTCTGATGGGGGTTCCAGCTGGGGGGCAGACGTTTGAGGATGAACTGAAGTCAGGGCAGCAGAAGATAAAAACTGTCTTTATTCTCTAAAAGCTGCTTTTTATTACTGCTTTTTTTTTACCTGACACACACACACACACACACACACACACACACACA